GCGGTGCAGTGAGGCGGATCATAATCGCGCATTTTTGGAATCGTACGTGTCGTGAAGTATGAACGCGGCCTAATCACCGGCCAGCACGACTGCAATATTCGTACTGTCTGCCCTGAGCGTAGTCAATAAGGATGGACTCCAAGGTACCAGTACGATATAGAAGCGATACTCTAGAAAACCTTGCTTACCTGACCGACGCCAAAATGTTGACCGGCAAATCGCCGGCGTTGCCTTGTGTTGCCGTTTGTTGATGGTACTGCTGTTGTTGTTGCCATCCTCCAGGTCCCATCGGGGCAAACTGGTTACCAGATCCTCGAACACCTCCTTGAGGAGGCGGACCGCCATAGTAGCCGGGTTGTGGACCACCCGGCCCCATGCTTGATGGCCAGCTACCTCCTACCATCTGTAATGAGAAATTTAGCTTAGAAACACCACCTGAAATAAAAAAGACTTATGATTCTCCGCTCACCTCACTGTTAGGTTTCATCTTGATGAACGCAGCAAATAGATGTGGGTCTTTTCTTCAATCTTGGAAGGCCGTGTTTTTCTCCTCGGTTCCGTCTTAGCATCTGATCGATTTTACCACCTGCGCCATGGCTGGATCCAGTTACGCAGGATTGCTTGCTGTGGTGTGGAGGTGGTTGTTGCTTGCTGTGGTGCATCTGTGGCTTCCGCCGCTTCTGATTAAGATTTTCAGCGATCCAAACTGGTCGAGACGAAAATTGTTTGAAAAGGTACGATAAAGTTTATTTCCGACACCAGCTGTCGAAAACCAGAACTTACGGTTTCTCATCTGACCCATACCAGGATGCATTGACATGCCCGGCTGCATCATTGACGGTGTATTAAAGCCGACCATCGGCGTTGGTGCTCTGAAATGGTTCACCAATAGGTATAAATTGACACAGGTTTATAGGAAATTCAGGAACATTTCACTTACCTATACGGTGGTGGTGGCTGTCCTCCTGCGCCTCGTCCGCCAGGTGGCATCGGCTGGCCGCCTGGATGTTGTCCTGGGCGCATACCTCCCATCATAGCCATTTGTTGCTGTTGTTGTTGTTGCTGCTGCTGTTGTTGCTGATGTTGCATCGTGCTGTACATGTTTGATGGACCCATGGGTCCTCCCATTCCGCCACCACCCATGCCTTGTCCCATTTGAGACATGCCGCTCGGTGGTTGTTGCTGTTGTTGCTGTGGTGGCATCATTCCTGATGCTGAAAATGTCATAAATTTACACTAAATAAGGACTGAGAGATGTCCAACGCCAGTAAATGACTTACACATAAATCCTCCTCGCTGCTGTTGTTGAGGTTGTCCAGCTTGCGGATGTGATGACATCGACGACATCGTCGGTACTTGAGTCAGCGGGCTTGGACCAGGAATACCTCCCTGAATTCACTATGATTAATAAAACTGTTTTACAAAGCTGAAACGGACACAGAATTTCCTTCATATTGTGTAAGGAAAAGGGATACTGATTGCCTCACCTTCATGTGAGTTCCAGCGAACGGCTTGTTATCCGGAGGTGGAGTCGGTACTGATGTTCCTCCCGCAACGCTAACAGCCGAAGAGCTGGACGAAGCTGGTCCTGAAAATGTTTCCATATAGTGGGAAAGAGAAGTATTCACGAAATCATGGCATGTGCACTGGACAAGCGTCGCTCTTGTCCTCTGAAAGTAGCCAAAATAAGAGGCGCCTTATGCTTACGCCCCCTCCCCCCTCTAATGGAAGGAGCAATAGGGGTGAGAAGACCGACATACTTGAATTAGGGAGCGATATATTTTCTATGAAATGCTGCTTGTCCCTGTTCCCTACACAGCATCGAATTATCTACAGATGTGGCCTCCATACTTAAAGTTCTCCAAGTTCTCCATTTTTACTCCACTTTCAACATCATGACTTGGATAAATGGCACTGCTGTCCTCCCCCCCCCCACCATCAGGAAGTTCTCTCCGAAGATTTTTTTCTCAGAAACAACTGCTAAACCATGCGATGCCGAAATGCGCCTCCTTCGCTCACCTCCCGCAACAGCCTGTAGACCATCGATACGTCTTCGCATCATCATATCGGCACGTCTGGCGATCGAACGCTTCTGCTCGGCTAATTTTTGGCGGATGTTCATACAGAACGGTACCTGAACAGATCAGAATAATTTTGTCGGAGAAAAAAAAGAGCACTTCCATGACTTTGTGAAGACTTACCGAACAAGAATCTCGAGAACAATGCTTTGCATGATAGCAGCACAAGGCGATGAGCTGCTTGCACACTGGACAACTGGCATTCACTCGCTTCTTGCACATCTTCGTGTGTTGTACGACTCGCTTCATCTTGTGACAAGACACACGACGACAATTCGCATCCCTGCACTGGCACGCGTGTACCAGTGACAATATGCAGCGCTGAAAACAGAACGATAGAAATTCCCCGATGATAAGAACTCCTGAAATTATCAGGAAATCAGAGGGCCATTTCTACTCACTTGAATGCTCTCGAAGCGATTGTTGCCGCTGGAATCGCCACTTTCTGCGCCAATAAGAGGTTTGATCTGCTCCATTGGGTGTTCGTGTGAGACGGATTCGCGACATGTCTCGCAAAGATCAAAGTCCTGAAGAAATATCTATACCGGTTAACATCTAGAGGCCCACCTCCATGACCACTTATGAATTTCAAAGTGTAACAAAACGATCCCAAAATTTAAATAATAGAGATATGCGGAAACAGTATGTAGAAGGAACTCGATAACTTACATCACAAGTGGTACAGTGCCACTTAGCATTCGAGCTGTTGCACTTGTTGCAGGTGTAACTCATGTCCTTGTTCACATCAGATTCATGAAGTGCGTGACACAAAGCGAGAGTTGAGAATCTGAAACAACGGAGATATCTCTCACAGAAAGTTATTCGAAAGGGGCTGTCGCAGGCCATTGATAAGCTGATGAGACACACCTCCCAGACACTGGCATCTCTGCCCCAAAAAGATGGGACCGAACAAACTGAGGACCTTGGTTGTACGTGCCTTGCGTAAGGGTATTGAGCGTACGCTTTCAACGCGTGCCCGCGAAATACTAAGGCAGCGTTCAGACTTCGCGACGGCAGCTGCTTTCCACCGCATTGATCGCGTGTTTGACGCGATCAATGCGGTAGAAAGCATGCGCATCGATCGCGCCGAACGCACGACCGAAGCGCTGCCGTCGCGAAGTCTGAACGCTGCCGTACAACTACCCGCGAAACGCTTAAACGCTAAATCGATATCTGTACTTTCCAAGTCTTTCGAAACGCCACCGTACGCTCAAAACATTAGATCGATATCTGTGCTTTCCTATCGCTTAAAACGCTCACGCAGCGTCCTATCGCTTAAACGCTCAACAGAGTATGAACAACGATCCTGCAGGTGTTCCCCATCCTTTCCTTCTGACATGAGTGTCGTCCTCAAGCTTCTTGTTGGTGCTGAATATTTGGGGAGGGGGAGGCGCGGGGGTCGGGGCGAGTGGATACTCATCGCTAGGGAGATATAACACCGTCTCCAAGCTATATTCAAAAGTTAGAATAGTTAACGCTGAAAAATGCGAAGTAGCAGTTGTAGGTTGGAAGATTCTTGCCTAAACTACAAAAGATTGCTGCCTGTTTGTTGCTGACTGTTACTGTTGACTAAAAAAGTTCAGACATTTGTTTTCAGCTTCTGTGGGATTTCTCAGCAAGTTCCCGGTGAATCTTGTTTGTTTTATTCTAATTTATCCTTGCCTAGCATTTCGCGCTTCAAATTTATGCTTGAATGAAGAGTCGCATGATCACCACGCGCCGCGAAGCCGCGTGCACCCCCCCCCAGCCCCAACGGTGACACCGCTCTATTTTGGAAAGCCGTGCGTATTCCAGTTCGAGCAGGCTTTGCAGTTCTCCCATTTTTTCGTTTATTGCTCGCCTTTCAAACGGTTAATAGACTGAACGTATCCCGAGCCACTTAAGAGACAGACTGTATGATTGGCCTATAGCTGATTATCCTTCTATATGGCAGTCAGAGCAGGGCGAGCTTAGTATTGCTGACCAAATTTCCGATCTAGAAGGTGCGCGAAAATAAAGCTGGGGCGCGAAAAATATGGGTGGCTTTAAAAGTGGAACGCACTTCACGTCGAGTATTATTATACACAGGGCAGGGCACATTAACTCCTTGCAGGATTTTCCTGCTAAATACGACATTCCCCCTTTCCCCTGGTACGACCCCCTTCACAACCTATTCACCACCACTGTAAAGCTCACAATATTATACGAAACATCTGGCTGTAAACGGGGAGCAAGATGGCCAAAGCGTGTCCGAAACACAAGGAATCATATGCTTCCAGAAATGTTTTCTCAGAGGCCCAATACCACGCCTGCCCCAGCAGCGCAAAATATGACCACTCACCGTGTTACTTTGCGCGATTAGAAAGGGAGTGAAACAGTGTACATTCACGGACATCATCGGGAACAATCACCAACCCTGCCCAATCGTACAGCCTTCAGACACCAGTGAATGTAACAGCTTATTTTGTGTACTACAGTCCGCGATCACGTTACTCTATTTCCGATAAAGTTGTTCTATGACCTTGAACGAAACCCTGTTTGAAGAAAACTTCACTCCTACCATCATAACTGCGCAGCTAACCAAATACTGTTATTAACAAAACTACTCACTTTGCCCTCCTCAAAGAGCTGAACTCCCAATGTTCATCCCGAGCTCTCGTTAGGAACGTATCTCTGCCGTCCATCATGTCAGATGCCATAAGTGGATCGGGATCGACAATTTCGGGCAGAGACAAGGCTGATTGTTGTGTGACTAGCCGAATGGTGAAGAACACCTGAAAAATATTAATATTTGATTAGTGTGTCGAGGACCACACCGGTCACAGAAAACTGCCTGGCATTGCTGTAGGACGTTATGCTGTGTTTAGCGCAGCTCAACGGAAAAATTGCTTTCCTAGAACGGGCCAACCATGCTATTTCTTGCACTCGTCTATGCCCTCGTCTATGCCCTCATGTCAACACAGTAAATCATGCCGTGTGGTTTAACATATACTAATCGGGGTAACGTCACAGATAACATACAACAGTGACGGAAATACTGCTGGCGGCAGTAAGAACAGCAGACTTTCCTCCCTAGGGAATGTCGCGCACATCATCTCGTTCGCCATCAGGGCTCGTCCTGGCGGAGAATCTCAGAAAAAGCAAATGTGTGAACCCCACGATATGATGTAAAAAAAAGTGTCGAAAAGTGTGTAAGTGTCGAATATCGCTTATTTGACGGCCAATACCCCAATATCGCTGGGCAATACCAAAATCCACTTTCTGCACAGGAAACACACACAGCCCTTTGTAATCTCTCACAAAAGAACAGTCGACCTATTGCTCCCACCCCCGCCCTCCTCCCCCCCCCCACCTCTCCCGCGAATATTCGTTTTGCTCCGTTAGAAGAGCCGACAACTAGCAACAAATTCAGGTTGCCCTTAACCGTAGAATACATCCCCCAGGCCCTCAAAAACATTTCGACCCATTCTATTCAAGACAATTACCGTCATCATGCATAACTTTATTCGAGATAATAAATTTGAGCTTTGATGGGTTGCCAGAGCCTATTAAAATGACTGCTACCAGTACTGCTGACCGGAGCTCATTTCCTACAACCTATTACTCTGTACTACTGATAGGGTTGGGATGTCCACGAAG